GGAAAATTACAAATGAAGGTCATGAAGGTTCGAGTACCCCGTATGGTAGAGAAATAAATAAGTAAAATACATAACTGGCAAATTTTCCATTACCGGAATTTATACGTACTTATGTATGTGCGTTGGCGTGTATGAAAATAGGGAAAAGCAAGTTTTGGCTACTTTTCTTTGCTTGAAAAATATAAATTTTTTTTTAATGAAAATATAGCTATCTAAGAAATCGACAAACTTTAACAAATCACACACCATCCTCAAAAGGGATGCAACTAAAATAAAAAAATAAAAATTTATAATAATTTTTTGGCATAAAAAATTTCATAGAATTTAACTCCAATTAATGTAGATATTTTTTTCATGAATATAATAACTACTATTATGTCTGTTATTGTATTAATTGCGTTAAATCTGTATAAACCATCAGCAGTTATATTTTTGAATCTGATTTTTGAGTCGTGTCTCTTTTGAGGATAGTAGGCGAAATTTGATAAAAATTTTCAACTTTTTGATGGGAATTTTTTTGGTGTATGCGGTTTTCTAAGGCCCATTAAATTTTAGTGTAATAAAGTGCAAGTCTGAAATAGCAAGGACTGATTTTTGGTAATTTTTTGTTCGCTAATTTTCTTCCATTAAAAGAATGTTTGGCAATTTTTGTGTATGGAGAAAATGAGCCGCGCTTCCACAAAAAAAATTACCAAAAAATCAGCGGTAAATTCTAGCTACTTAAACTGCTCAAAATTGCTTACTCAGAATGTTTCTAAGAAATCTAATTATAAAGCTCAAAGTTTTGATGAAACTTTGTCAAATTTTGCTAATTTTTGTACACAGTTTGAAAACTTGACTTACATGGATTTTGTTAGCTACACTTTTATAAAAAAAATAATAAACGTTAAATAAACGAAAGGGAAATAGCCAAAGAATGCAAAAATGTCTCTTCCCTATGCTAGTATAAAAATCTGTTGTGGACTTATTTTTGCTATGACTATTTAAATTAAGTATAAAAAGTTTTATTACACACCTCAATCAATAGCCGAAAAAAAAACAATTTTGAACTTTGCTTTTTCGCCTACGTCAAATACTTTTGGATTAATCAGCGCTTGGAGGAGAGGTACTTCAGCATTTTAAATTTGGGGTGTAGAAGCAACACACTCCCAGTTGATAAACGCTCGTGTATGTATGTATGTATGTAGGTGTCTTAATGGCAATGAATGNCTTTTGGATTAATCAGCGCTTGGAGGAGAGGTACTTCAGCATTTTAAATTTGGGGTGTAGAAGCAACACACTCCCAGTTGATAAACGCTCGTGTATGTATGTATGTATGTAGGTGTCTTAATGGCAATGAATGCAGCCTACCCATGTATTAATATGAAAATTTTGCACATACAGCACTAAAAAATTACCCCTTTGTGCCAGAAATTTCATAAGGAATCTGTATTTTGCCTTTGCGTATTTGAGGTCTGACTTTTTGCGGCCGACCGTACTAAAACCGCGAAATTCCGAAAAAAAAATCAAGAAAAATAAAACACGAAGTATTTCGAATTAATACATANGAGCCTACCCATGTATTAATATGAAATTTTTGCACATACAGCACTAAAAAAATACCCCTTTGTGCCAGTAATTTCATTAGGAATCTGTATTTTGCCTTTGCGTATTTGAGGTCTGACTTTTTGCGGCCGACCGTACTAAAACCGCGAAATTCCGAAAAAAAAAATCAAGAAAAATAAAACACGAAGTATTTCGAATTAATACATAAAAGTCCAAAAGAATCCCGAAAAGCAAAATAAAATATTTCCAAAGATGTCTTGACCGCCTCGAAAAAAATTCCGAAAGTTCCTGAATAAATCCCGAAAAGTTTCGAAAAATCCCGAATAGGTATTTAAAAAAATACCCGAAAATTTCTGTCGGAATCACGAGAAGTTTCTAAAATCTAAAAATTGCGAAAATTAAGGCATTAAGTATTGCGAAGATCTAGAAAAATTTCGAAAAGCACAAAAAACAGGATTTCTTATTTTATTTGAACGTTCTTATTTTGAATTTGAAAGCTTTCAAAATATTCCGAAAGTCTGAAATAACCGACGAAAATGTACGGAAAACCCTGAAAGTTCCAGAAAATTTCCTGAAAGTTGCAAAGTTGTGTTTTTGAACCTGGAACTTTTCTAATTATTCCGCAAAGTCTACAAAATTCTCGCCAAACTCCCAAAAAGTGCAAATAAATTCTGGAAATTTCTCTAAAAGTTTAAAAATTTCCGAAAACTCCCGAGAGAATCTTACCGGAAACTCTAGAAAAATAAACTCTTCAAATAAATTCAAATTTTCAAAATTTGTCACTACTTTTCTCTTAAAAAATAATAAAAAAATTTTAAAATTCTTTACTAAAATTGTTTGCTGTTTATTATATAACAGATAGGATTTTACAAAAGGTGCTCAAATATACTCAAAAGGTTTAAGAAACAAAACTTAAAAAATGGAGAAAAGTATCGAGAAGCACCAAAATCATGAATCAAGGCAAAAAGGTAGTTGTAATTTCCATCTTAAACAATATAAGCCAAATTTTGCAACTATATTTTTAAGGAGAAAATAATGGCTAATGTTTGCTTTTTTTTTAAGTACATACAGACCGACATAAAACACGAGGAGTCGCTAAAAATCCTGCCAGTTCCCGAAAAACTCCCAATAGGAAGCAAAAAATTCACGGTTAATTACAAAAACTCTAAAAAATTTCAATGCTCTCGAGAGCATTATTAAGTCTAAAACCTATAAACAATTAAAGGAGTATAAGTTCGCGAGAGAGTGAACTTTATGTACTCGGCCCACACCAATTTTGATGAATTAGCTTCGGTACGAAATTTTAAGAAAAAGCAATTGTTGATTTTTTATGCATACGACGCAATGCAGCATTGAAAATTGGCTAAGGCACTACGCACACTACGCTCGTCTCGTCATTGGCTCGTCATGCATGCAGCAAACGCTTTGTTGTCGCACCTGTGTGTTGTGTGTGCTGAAGTTATAAAATTCGTGCAATTAAGCGAAAATCGCGCGGGTCTATATAATAATAATTTACAGGAATATTCAAATAAAGATCTAACCGATCTGTATATAAATGGGGACCGTTCGGTTATTTTTACAATGATTTTGGGTTGTTGTGTCCAAACGCGTGACCCGAATCGAAAAGTTTTAACAAACGCGTGTAGTCAAAATACTAAGCTTTAACTTAAAATAAAGCTTTAAATTTTCCGAACACTAATTTATTAATAAATTCTGTTTCAATTATGAACTTTTTTGTAAATTATATTTGAATTATTCTTAATATATGGATGCATCCAATGCTTCCTTTTCTGTTATTTCTCCTTCGATGTACATAGGAGATAATTTAATAAACATATACCCGTAGTTGCGTATACAAAGTCATCCAACAGTGCGCTCGGGTATATAAATTAATAAAAATTAAAAGATTTTCGAAGATCCCGGAACAATGCCTGGCCCCGAAACATCTCGATTAAAATCCCCGAAAGCCCCGAAAAACCCTACAAATCATGACTTATCAGAATAATTTCTAGAAAATTAATGTCTTTGGCTTAGAGGGTTTGTCGCATATATATATGTATGTGTGGAGTCCAATTTTTTTCGTGAATAATGCTAAATAATCTCCTTTCTTTGAGTTATCTGATGACGAAATACGACACATTAAACGGACAATCGCTTACGAGCATTTGTATGATAGTCCAATACAAGGTATTAAATGATAATAAGTGATATTGACGCGGTAAGTAGCATTCAAACAAATACATATGTACGTACATACAACCATATATATATACATATGTATGTATGTATGGGCATGTGATACTTAACAACTGTTATTTCGCAACTAGTTAAAATACAAGGGTTTATAAATATACCACACTGGCCGGTATCAATTTCTTGCCAGAGATAAGCAAATATCTTCTCAACACTTGACTTTATTAGCCTTTGTCTGTGGAATTGAAAATAAATGCCTACCATACAATTAAAACCAGTAAACTGCTCGGAACAAATTTATGTTAAAACTAAAAATTTTACAAAAATTGCAAAAATATATAAATTTTTTTGTTATATCTATCATTGAATATATTTTACATACCATTAAGTTTTGTATAGCACTTTTTTGTATCAGTGCAGGCAATCATCGCTGTAACGGCAACATTTGTCAGGCAGTCAGCCGTTTTATCGCATTGAATGCAAGTAAAATCTAACAAAAAGTGAAGAGAATATTTAAAAAAAATAATTTAAAAAATTCTGTAAATTCTACACTTCACTCATTACCAGTTGTTGTCTGTGCGAGTGTGCGCCCAATTAGCATTATAGCGACAAAGATCGCGGCAAACCATTTCAAATTGTGGCACAACATATTCTGCGTTGCACCTTTTCTTCTTCTATAAGATACAAAAAAAATCCCAGCAAAATTTGTATACACTAAAATACTTTTTCTCACTTTATTTTCACTGTTTGCCTTTAGACACTTCCGTTCACTTTTAATGCCAATCGCATTCTAGTCTTTGGCCTTTTAACAAAATTTCAATGTAGCCACGCCATGCGCAATCTAATCAACACACCTGTCGCGTTATCAGTATCACTTTTGGTGGTGGCAAACGTATGAAAACACCATTGACAATACAAGTCGGCCGTAAATTTTGCTTTGTTATGCTTTTGCTTTATATTAACATTTTATTTGTGTTTTGCCATTCTTTTTATCGCCACCACTGTGCTGCACTGTAAAACTGCGCCGTTATGTTAAAAATTTGAATGTCAAGTTAAGGAAAAAATAGTGTGTCGTGAAATTTTGTCTTAGGAAACTTCGCAGAAGTTTGAAATATATATACATATGTACATACATACACTCCCAGTCACTTGAATAGTACACCCTGTTGATTGTCAGTATTTACGTTTTCCTTTTGTTTTATTTGTTTTGTTTTTATTTTGTGCATTAACTTATGCGCTGCAGGTCATTAAGATATATAGCAAACCCCTTTGTTGAAATATCTTGCCTTCATCTTCATCTTCATCTTCATCTTCATCTTCATCTTCATCTTCATCTTCATCTTCATCTTTATCTTTATCTTTATCTTTATCTTTATCTTTATC